CCAATACAACACATAACACCACAACCCCACAATAAACCTAGCACAACACAAAAACCCCACCCATACCACCACAACCCTGGCTATAACATCATCAATACTCAACACAACCCCTACCCCACACTCCCCCGCCAAAAACCCCATCACCACCCATGACAGTCAACCACAGACATTCACGGCTCCACCTAAAAAGAGAAGTCCCTGTGAAAGTGGTAACAACAGATTGTTCTCCGTCTGTGAGGTGGAGCATTTGGAGGCGTCCTCCACACAGCAGATGTGGATGAATCCACTGCTGAAAATTGTCGCACAGCTTTCTGTTTTTAACGATGTTTGTCTTCAGAATGAACAATGGGCTTTGAGCTGAGAAGCCACAGACAGGAAGTAAAAACAGCACCAAGAGGCGGGACCTATTCGTTGTGTGTTGCCTTTACCGTCCGTACCAGCGGCATGAAGGAATGAAACACTTCCTGACGGAGGCCTGAGGTTTGTACACCTGAGCGGCTCACAGGTGAGCAGCCGCCCGACGGTCTGTTGCAAGACTTCTGCTCCTTCCTTTCACGCTTGATTCCTCAACAGGGGACAAATCCAAATGCCAGAATGTCAAAGTAACAAAACGGAAGATTCAGCAGCACTGCAGCGTGGATGAGAAGGTCAACCCCCCCCCTTTAAACCTGGGGAATACCTCTGTACAGAATGGAGACAATGGCGCAATGCCGGTGCTTTCTATTGTTGGAATCTAATCTCGTTGTTCGATACTACCTTATTATTAAATACAACAAAATCAGTGTTTTTCAATGCCTTTTGGTAATTAAAAGCAGGTAATTTTGGTCATGTGTTGACTGTGATGGTTCCTCCTGTGTATCATTTATTTGATTCTCTCTCATTATATCGTTCACCTTAACGGGTTTGTTTGTTTTGTCAATTGTATTGTAAATTGTAAAACATTGTAAATTTAAAAAAGCTTCTTGGGACTGTGAGAAGAGAGAACACTCCCTTTTATTATCTTTCTTGTGTTGCATGAGTAGAAATGAAACGATCATTCTGTGACCTTCAGTCCTTTCTGGGCAAAATGAAAACAATTGAAATGCAACTCATGTGTGGTAGTTGTGCTCCAAAGGGAAGCGACACACCCTCAACTCTTCGAGGACCCGATGGAGACACAGTTACTGTATGTGGATTCTCCTTAAAGATCCGCTCTACGTGTCAGAGATCAAACCTTTTAAATAAACGTTGTGAGTGCAGTCTGGCCGGCTCTCTCTAACATTTCACCTAAACAGTCATTTTGAAGGCTTGTAAAAATAAGGATATAATAATTAAAGTGTGTTTCGGCTCCTTGACGAGGATGAAAGTTTGTACGGAGATGTTAAGCGATGAGAGAGCACGCGGATGCAGCGGTTCACTCACCGGCATCATGTTGGCACGCGGACTGCAGCCGAAACCATTAACGCCTCCTCCTCCTCCTCCCACTCCTCCTCCTCCCACTCCTCCTCCTCCCCCTCTGCGGTCCGTGCGTCTCCTCCGTCCGCCTCATTCACATCACGTTCCTCCGCGAGAGCCTCTACGTGCACCGGCTCCTCATCGACCTGTTGCACCCAGCGGGCCTCTAATCCGAAGGAATACAAATAAAGCGATGGGGTTTGGCAGATTTTGTGCACGAGGCGGCGGAGGAAAAAAATTAAAGCACGCACGCACGCACGCGGACACGCACACGCGCGGCGTGGAGTCGTCTCGGTGACGGAGGCGGGGGACAAAGCGCGGCGGGCGGAGCTGCTGTCTGCTCAGCATCCACGACCCGTCTGCCGTGTTCGGACCGAAGCCGTTCAATCAACGCACACCGGCCGCCACCCGCGGAGCGGGACCACACTTCCGGGACACGTCTTCACAATAAAAGACCACCTTCTTGCAGATTACAGTATCCTGGAATGTGTCGGTATTAGCATAAAACTACACAAAATAAAACTACTCATTGTACAGGAGGGTCCCAGTTGTTATTAATGTATTATGATATTTCAATTATAAGAGTGGTCAATGATTCAGTTGGTAGGTAGAAGTAAATGGCTAGTTTAGACTATTTGTGTATAACAATACACAACTTTTTAAAACGTTATAAATGTATGGGATTGAAAAATAACAAATTTGCCTCCAAACTGGGGTGGACTGGAAGTTAAATAGTTCAATTATGTGCAACATTAAGTCGGCAATAGATGACTCTCAAGCATTTTAAATTCAAGGATGCATCCAAACAAATATCTTATACAAAAACTAAAAGAATCGAGGAAGGCCTTCAGATTCTCAGCTTGTCTGAAAATATGTTGGTGTCTCCAAGTTCTGCAGTTTTGTTTTATTTATTTACCATATTGTAAGAAATCATACTCGAGACCTTTTTCAACTATTCACAGCTTTTACTTTGAAGGGCTTCTAACCGTTATTCCGGTTCTGATGTGTTAAATTGACGGATCTCGTCACCGCGATCGCCTGGCAACGGGAATAAACTCCTCCTCGCTTCTCCGGCGTTGTGTAAAACATTGCGCACGTTCAAAATAATAATTATTATTTTTACTCAAATCCTAAAACACATCCGGTCATCCTGATCCTCGTTGCTATTTATAAACTCCGATGAATAGTGGAGGACAGGAACAAAGAAGTGCTCCACCTGTCCTCCGTCACCAGCAATTGTTTCAGCTGGCGGTTCTGCTGCCAACAGCGACATCTGCTGGCTTCGTTCATGGTGCTCAGAATAGACACACCAGTAACTCCATAATATGTCAGCACGTTAGTTTTTAAAATTCATTTAGTGGATGAGAAGAAACATCCGCCTTTCACCACGTCAAATTTAGTTGAATATATGGTCATACATTTCACAGACGATATAAAAACAAATGAACAGCCACAGTAATAAATACAATAAAAACAAACAATGTGGGGGAAAATATTTGAGTAAGAATACAAACAAACAAACAAACACAGTATAGCGGTAATGGATATACCTTTATTGTAGATGTTGTTAAATTGTTAATCGCTGTGTCTGACCAGCAGAGGGGAGGACTGCACAGGAAGTTGGTAGTTTTCCCTTCAAACTAAGTGCAATAAAATGTCTGGGGTAGAAATAGTAGCCAACTAGAAGCAGCACAATAATAAACCAGCGAAAGTATCGTCGTAAAAGCAATTCTTGGATGAAAGGGCAACACGTTTGCTCGTTAAAAGCGTCGAACATTATAGTAAAACATTTATTTTGAAACCGGAAATGCTTCTTCCACCTTCCTGGAGTGGAACTCGTAACACACGTGGATAACAGAGCTCAGCAAAACAGGACTTTACGTTGAATAACTTTATAAACAGGTAAATAATCCTTATTTCTTCATCCCAAACGGCGCAGAGACGTGAAGCCGCTTGTTTCGCTCATGACTGACACGGACTGACACTGTCACGGTTCTTTTGTAGCGAAGGAATGTCAATAAAACTGTTAATAACGTTAACGTTTGTTGTTCGGGTCTTCTCCGGTTCAGTAGCATCGTTACTCTCTATGAATCAGATACAAACCACAGTCCGTTAAAAAGGAACCGAGTTGAGGCCGCTTGATGCGAGTGAACAACGCGAGTGAAACCGAGCTAACGCAATAACGCGATGTTGTGATTAGCTTCTATCAAACTGCGCTTTATTACATCCACGGGTCGGTTCAGTTCAACGTCACGTAAACAGCAGATGTATTAAATGTTACAGGTTATGTGCTTACACTGAGCTAAACCGGGATTGTAATCTGGTAACCGAGCATTACATTAGCACTGCTAGCTAGCCGGCGAGGAGCCGCAACGGTTTGTAATTATTTGTAAAAAGAAAACAACAACATGGCGCCTAATCTTCCTTTTTGTAGAATTTGCTGAGAATAATATTTATAAATATGACCAATTGGAATGTGCAATGTCACTTGGTCAAAGAAATTGGGACATAAATTCCCAAATAATATAAGTACATCAATAATGAAAAACTATTTAAATCCAGTTTCTAATTGTATATTTAACATTAGTTTAAAGAGGCAAGGATGACGCTTCCTCTCGAACCCATTTAGTGTTTTGCTATTATGTGCTTTTTCTAAATTAATATCACTGCTGCATTAATGCTTTATTTCAACTTTTTGAGTAGATCAATTTATTTCCTTCAATTAATCAGATTTTATAAAAATTCTCTGTAGCGACTCGGCCGTCACAAAACAAAGGACAATTCTATTCTTCAATTGATCAAACATTAAAAAAACTGATATCTACCTCTGCAATGTAGTAGATTAGAAGTATTTCCGTTTAGAAATACTTTGTTCTAACACTTTAAATCTTCCCCTGAAGCCGCAATGAAAGGGAAAGAGAAGCAGCTACGAGAGATGACGGTGTCAAAGAAGAAGAACATGGCGGCGAGCAGCAGCAGCGATGATGAAGAAGACTCCGACGCAGAGAGGAACTACGCTCTGCTCACTGGAAAAGGAGCAAAGTGGGCGGAGCCAGGAGTCAGCGATGAGGATGAAGGGGCGTCTGATGGCGGTGCAGAGGAGGAAGGAGGCGAGGAGGGATCAGATGACGGCGAGGAACCGTCTAATAGGGACGAAGAAGAAGAAGAGGACGACGACGACAGCAACGCCTCAGAGGACGACGTGGATGGCGATCCGGAGGACGCCGGCGGTAGCGGTGAGATCCAGACGGAGCACGACATTAAGAAAGGTGAGTTTAATTAAATGTTGTTAATCCTGTTTTAATCTGTCAGGTCGATAGAAACATCTTCTCCTTCTCACCATCTGGACCAACTGCAGAAGTAGTTTGAAAACCGAGTAACCGGTGAAAATGATTGCGTGAATGTAGGAGGTTTCCGTGTCCCCGGTGGTGTCGTGTGCTGGATTTCTCTGGCCTGGTGAAACGTGACGCTCTCCGCTCTCTGTACCCGCCCAGAGCTCTCCAACATGTCCTTCGAGGACATCATGAAGCTGCAGAGCCAAGTGGGGACCAAAGCTTACAACAAGCTGGCGTACGGCGGCGGGAAGAGCGGCGGCAAGAGCCGAGGCGCCACCAAAAAGAAGCGCCTGAACAAGAACAGGTGAGCAGGCTCGGCCCTCTGGCGTCCGGCCCGCGACGCGTCTCCAGCGCTGACCCCGTGTTTGTGTCTGCAGGCCGATGGAGATTTCATCCAAGAGACGGGCTCCCTTCCTCCGTCAGGTCGTCTCCGTCAAGAAGCCGGTGAGCTCTTGGTTGAGGGGGGGTAAATAACATACGGCTGTTTAGTTTGTTGAAAAAAAAAATGGTTGCCTTAAATTACTTCTATTTTGATCTGGCGCTACTCAAACTCCGCACTGACGATAATCCTCTTCTGTGTTCCTGTTCGTTCTCAAGATGCAGCGAGATCCCCGATTTGACGACCTGTCGGGAGAATACAAACCGGAGATTTTTGAGAAGACGTTTAAATTCATCAACGACATCAAGCTCAAAGAGAGAGAGGTGAGGGGCCTTCTGGTCTTTTAGCTTGGGATGTTCAACGCGGTCCGTGTCTTCTGAAGGAGGAACGCGCTCGTGTTGTTTCTCCTGCAGATCATCGAGAAGAAGCTGAGGAAGTCGAAGAACAGCGAGAACAAGGATAAACTTGAGTTCCTCCTGAAGAGGATGGTGAGTGACCGAACCCGCCCCCATCATCTACTAGACACTTTGCACGAGTCCGGGTCGACGCTGAATGGTTGTGCCTCCCCCCCCTCCCTCCCCCCGCAGGACAACCAGGAGCGAGCGAGGCAGCGCCAAGAGCAGCAGAGAGAGAGAGAGCTGCAGTTCAAGAGGGAGCAGAGAGAACGAGCCAATCAGGGCGAGCGGCCGTACTTCCTCAAGAACTGTAAGGACGGGTTCACGCTGCTCTTCAGCAGCAGGAGCTGCGTTACGCCGTCTCTGTGTTGGATCTATTTTAAGTCCAGTTGGAATGAATTAGGGAACTAGGCAGGTTGTACATGATGCAATCAAAGTTTCGAGTAATTCTATAGATGGAAAAACATATTCAATACATTTGGGTTCCAAAGTTTTAAGACTGAAAACATCTCCCATAATTCACTTTCTTTAATTAAAGAACTTAATCAGTAATGAGATTATTCACAAATTGCACTCCTACAAACAATGTTATAATTAATACGAGATGGGGTTAAAATCTGTTGTAACGTCCGATGCTTTAAAAAACAGGATGTATTTTAATATCCTGTCAATCATTATTTGATATTTGCTTATAAAGTACAGATACAGTTGATGTATGAAAAAGTCGAACAATGGAGGCAGAAGAGATAAAATGGTTAAAGATTCAAGAATATCAAAATAAAACTGTAAAGAGTTTGCAGTAGATTTAGAGCTGCTGAAAAGGGGTTATTAAAATAGCCACGGTGTGGAGATATTTAAATGTTTAAGCATACTTGAATTTCTTTAAACAATTGTCCGATTTGGAGGTTTGAGCTCTTCTGTGTCGTTCCTTTCCAGCTGACAAGAAGAAGCTGCAGCTGGCCGAGAAATTCCAGGAGCTCAAGAAGAGCGGCAAGCTGGAGAACTTCCTGAGCAAGAAGAGGAAGAGGAATGCTGGAAAGGACCGCAGGAAGCTGCCCAGACAGCTGCTCAACAGCAGCGGCCAGGGAAGCTGGATGGAATGAGACTGTAATGACCCGCCCCTGCCTGCTGGTGGCGCTGTGGTCTGTTCCACGGAGGACCGAGATCTCTGGTGTCAGAGTTAAATGACCTTTTTATTGTAAAATATTTCCGGACTTCCCATCGCCTCTCACGGGCCTTTGTAGGAGTGTTGTTTGCTCGGTTGCCATGGAGATGGCTGCGAATAAAATAAGCAAAGACCGAAGATGGATTTTCTGCCTGAAGAAATGGATCAAACGATCCGTCGCCTGGAAGCAGGAAAGTGCAGATAAACAATGGTCTGTTTGTGACGTTAAATCTGTTCAGTTGATTTTTTTTTTTTTTACCTCAAGGGGTTTAAAGGCCTTTTCAGGCCAATTCATTTTAAAAAGACATGGATAATGAGTCACATTTGACCGAATTCTTAAACAATCAAACCATCTCAGCTGTGATGCAGATTAAAATGAAACACCAAGTTTCCCTTAGTGTCCGATAGAGGGACTTTATTAATAAAGTGTTTGAGAACAGAAGAGCTGTTTTATGAGTATGTTTGTGCGGAGAACACTCATAAAAGTACCACAGAGCAAAGTAGTTGTGTTAAGCCATATTTCTGCAGCTGTTGAACAGTTGTGAAGTGAGTCTTTGAGGGTGAGTGTAGGTCACCTCCCAGCAGGGGGCGCCACAGGACAGAGGACTCAAACGCACCTCAGGGTCTCCCATCGGTCCACAGGTAACAAACTGGCTGCTGGTGCACATTCCGATGGGTACAGACGTGGTTTCCCTTGCCCCAAAAGCTGCCTAGTTAGTCAGATAACACTTTTTTTTACTGCCCTTGGTGTATTTAGGTCGTAGAAAGTCATCCATAAAAATAGAAGGAAAGAGTTACTTTGTGTGAGGGGGTTTGATTTAAACAATTTAAAAGTCTTTCATTCAAAATCTTACTGAAGTATGAACAGATTGTTGGCAAAATGTACTTTTAAGTATGTGTCCGAAATATAAAGTTCAGGAGAGACGGACACGACCAAAACAACCCCAGTCCCTCACTTACTAAACTCAAGTCGCCGGCACTATTTGGAAATGTCAGGTTCGGTTGTGGTGGAGGGCCGTTACCGTGGTTACAGCTGTTGTGAGAGGAAACAAAGCGGCCATAAATGACACGGTTAGTAAAGGCTTTAACGCTGTATGAAGCACCGGGGACACAAGGGGGGGGGGGGTAGAAAAACAACAACGTCAACAAAATCCCGAGACGTCCTACGGAGGAAACGACTGTACGTCCACGTTGATTCGTCAACTGATCTGGAAACAGCCCACGCGGTCCGTAGCGTAGACGCACTGCTCGCATCTGGAAAAGTGCGCTTGGGTGTTTTTCTGAGGTTTAAAATTACAGTGATCAAACAGGTGAAGACGGAATCGTGAGACCTACAGAAGCAGGTTAAACGCTTCGTGGCTCTGACACTTCAAACTGCGCTCACTGAAAGTAGATACACTTCAACTTTCTCCTGCACTGAAAAACTCAATTTTATTGCCCCCGCATGCAGGAGACACTTCAACTGCTTTCATGGCTGAATCCGCTCAGCGCTCCCACTTCAAGTGGAACGTCAGTCAGAGCCTCACATCCAGTTTACACACTTCAGCTGCTTTCAGCTACACGCTTCAAACCATTTCAGCTGCTTTCAATGCTCGCAGTTTGTTTTAAACAATCAAACGACTTGAGTTTACCGAGAGAAGAAACCAAGATAAGATCAATTAGAAAAGAGCGTAAACTGAGAAAAATACAAAAATCTAACCTGATAACAATTACAGTCTAAGGTAAAATATCCTTTCAAACGGTTTCATTTTATATACCACGTCACTTTCTGCGTAGCAAATGCACACACGGGGGGGGGGGGCCTCTAAATGTACCCCCCTCCACGCTATACATCACGTGTACATTCATCAGTACAAAGCGATGAAGCCTCATCACGGGGGCTCATTTGACCTGCAGCAGGTTCCTTCAGCTCTGCGGTTTGTGAGTAGCAAGCAGAGAGTGTAAACTACTTCTCCCTCTTTGTCCCCCCCCCGGACCCTCCCCCATCCTCCCCCGGGCTCTTTAAAAGTCAATTAGCGGCGTGCAAGGAGAACACGGAGCGCTGAACCCTTCTCCACGCCGGCTGATCCCCTTTTCTCTGCTCTCTGACAGGCGATTCCCCCCCCGTCTAACAAAGCAGCACAATAATACAGGGCCTTATATTCATGAGCTAATACACCCAATTCAACTCCCAAAATCCCCCCCAAACACACACAACCCGCCCATCCATCTCCCCCCAACTTCTCCTTTTGTGTCACAGTTGTAATAAATGGAATAGAAACCCTTTAGTGCTGCTGTGTGTTTATGTGTCTATATAACAGCTTACATGATTTGATTGATTTTCAAACTATATTTTTTAGTTACATTACATTAAATGTCATTTAGACGACGCTTTTATCCAAAGCGACTTACAATAAGTTCATTCAACCATAAGGGTACAAACTCAGAAGAACAAGAAACGAGAAAGAAAAATTTCCTCCAATGAGTCAGTTTACAATTTGCTACAGATGAGTGGTGTTATAAGTACAATGTGAGTGCTTGTTAGTGTTTAGTGGAGGTAGAGTCTGAAGAGGTGAAGGTTCTCTGTGGTCCTGGTGTCTTCAGAGAGCTCGTTCCACCATTTGGGAGCAGGACAGCAAAGCGTGGTGATCTAGTCGAGTGTTTTGCTCTCAGTGAGGAGGAACGAGGAGTTTATCACATGCAGAGCGGAGAAGTGAACCTTCTCAGAGACAAACATCTCTCAGGGGAAACAACACAACGTCGGGCCGTTGTTCCTGACTTAAAAGTTTGTGCCCCCCACCTCCTCCACCAGGTGAACACCAACCCCCACCTCCTTCTCTTCGGTTTGGAGCGTAACAAATGGCCTCGCCGGGGCCCAAACCTCCCAAATCACGGCCGCTCCAGTTGTCCTCCGTTGTAATGGCGGATAAAAAGCCCATCGCTTCTGAAGAAAAGGTGGTGGAAGCCGACGCCGCCCCATTGAGCCCTCTGCCTGGAAACCATCTGCTGGCTCGCCCGTGTGAAAGGGATAATTGAGTGTTATGGACAGGAGAATAGATCCCTCTGCTTTGTATTCTTTAGAAGAGAGCCAGGGGTTTCGCACCACATCTGCCCCTCGGGCTCCATTCGGCCCCACTCACTGTCCCGTCAATTAGCACACTCAATTAAGCCCTCATAATCCTTTTAGCGAACACACAAGGGGCGCCGTCCGAACGCCACGCCCGCCACGGAGAAGTGGCGACAAATGAGACTTTAGTGACGGTTTTCTTTGGGTCGGGGGGGAGGAGGGCGGAGGGGACGGGTGCCGCGAGCGATCGCTTCGAGGAGGGGTGAATGGAGCGGCGGGCGGCCGGGCACATGCGGGCTGGAGGAGGACTGAGGGCAATTGACAGTGGCTGTACTTTAATACATGTGCTGTTACACCACCGGCTGCAAGAGAAGCTAATGTTGGACTTTAATCCGTAACGCGAAACAAGCAGATGATCTGTAAAGGATGGAGGACAGAAACAGATCAGATTTTAACTACAGACCGTTTTAAAAAAAATCTCGGCTCACACGCGTCGCCTGGCCGTCGTTGGCGGAGCCTCAGACGTCAAACGTCATTTGAAATAGTTTCCATCCTGCTGGTTTAGAAGTTCAATCCCCACGAAATCAACACAAAACAAACTGTCAACAGCAAATAAAAGAAACAAAATGCAAGTCGAGGCGTCCCAAAAGGGTCTCAAATTGTTCTCGGGGGACTCCTGGGGCGCGTATGGGAATTCTGGGGGGCCCCAAAATCACCACTATGGGTTCAATGCTACTCCCTGCAGATTTGATCTCTTTATTGCTGAATTTATTTTAGGAATATGTTTATTGAATGATGCAACGTGGGAGAACATAGTAGAATTTGAACGTAACGATGAAGCAGAAGAGAATTTAGGTTAAAAAAATGAGAAAGATGACTCATGATAATAAAGCCGTCTTGTCTGGAATGAGAATGTCTAAAATAAAACACACACTGAGCCCTGAGAAAACCCCCTCAAACACGTCGCATTAAAGCACTTTGGTAGTTTTTATGGATCTCTTCAAGTAGCCACAATTGTTCACGACTCCATAAACAAAAGAGCGAAGCCGCCCAGACGGTTCATTAGAGCGCTGAAAACAGGCGGAGGATCTGTTAAAGACTTCACTGCCTGTTGGAATAGAAGGAGGAGACGGCCTGTTTTCAGAAGTCACAGTCAATTTATTCCGCCAATGAAAGTTTGTGTGTCTGTAGGTGGCGCCGCTGCCAGCGAGCAGCACCTGAACAGCTCGTTCTCTGCTTCTTCTAGGACACGATGTCATGAGACAAAGCGCACATGTCGCGGTAAAGTTGTGCCTCTCCCGGCACAACTTTCTTTGCTTGCTCACTTTCTTCCGTCACGAGTCGCCTGGTCTGAAGCAAAGTCTCTCTGCTCACAGCACTTGACATTCGTTCTTTGGACAGACGGTCAGACAGATGAGAGACCAAAGAGGCTCCAGTGGAGGAGGAGGAGGAAGAAGAAGAAGAAGAAGAAGAAGAAGAAGAAGAAGAAGAAGAAGAAGAAGAAGAAGAAGAAGAAGAAGAAGAAGAAGAAGAAGAAGAAGAAGAAGAAGAAGAAGAAGAAGAAGAAGAAGAAGAAGAAGAAGAAGAAGAAGAAGAAGAAGAAGAAGAAGAAGAAGAAGAAGAAGAAGAAGAAGAAGAAGAAGAAGAAGAAGAAGAAGAAGAAGAAGAAGAAGAAGAAGAAGAAGAAGAAGAAGAAGAAGAAGAAGAAGAAGAAGAAGAAGAAGAAGAAGAAGAAGAAGAAGAAGAAGAAGAAGAAGAAGAAGAAGAAGAAGAAGAAGAAGAAGAAGAAGAAGAAGAAGAAGAAGAAGAAGAAGCCCAAACGCCGGCCGTTGGTACGGAGCGCCGTGAGGGAAGGTTCAGCCCGAGAGGTCGCAGCGGATGAACCAGTTTGAAATCAACCATTTCAATATCTAACAAAGAAGAGCAGGAGAAGACGGATCCTGTAACATTCTACTTTGCTTTAACACACTGAGATGCCTTTAGACCCCCAAGAGGCTTTTTAGATAAAAGAGATTATATATATATATATATATATATATATATATATATATATATATATATATATATATATATATATATATGAGAGGATCTTGCGTGTGATGTTGCACCTGACACGACCAAAGTGTGGAAACCGCGCCAGTCGAGGCGAAGACAAAAGGAACTATTGAACAGCGAGCAGACCGCCGTGACGCGGAAGGCCGAGCCCACCGCCCCGATAAGATGCGGCGGTGGCAGACTGCGGTCTACGCACTCATTGAACGACCTTTATGAGTCCAGGAGAAGGGTTGTTTTTTTTTTTCCCTTTATCCCCCTGACTCGTTCCCATGTCGCGCTTTAAATAAAAACAACCCTCCCCTTCTTATCAGCAGCCGTCTTTGAGTCGAGGTGAGAGTGAG